TCCAAGGGTTCAAGGCTGATAGTTTCTCCAAAGGGTGTAGTGAACACGCCTTGATACAACTCCCCCCATCCATGATATGATACCCTCATCTTACCCCTGCGGAGATCTTACATGATTCACCGTGTACTCCCAAAAGGTCTTCTACGTTTTCGTCAGCTCGTGTTGGGTCCTGTTCATTAGCGCCCGCGCGGGTCACTCTTTACGACCACTATTTGGTCTATCTTTCAGCTACATACCGTGATTGCATACGCCTAAGAGACATCTGACGCATTTCTGTTTTTATTGTATCTCCAGCCAATTGAAGTTGTGCGGTAGTCCATGGATGGCAGACTCGAAATGAGGGTCGAAGTTTTCGTGGGTGCCAGCCCAGGTCATGCCGGATGTAAGATGCCAATATGATACGGGATATTGCTCTTCTCCCGCTTAGGTGCGCTCATATTGCCTTCTGGGATGCAAACCCTCTACTCCCTATCTTTAGTGTACGCAAGGGACGGTGATAGTACGTGGAGTGAACCTTCCGCGCTGAACACATTTTGCGACGCACTTCCAGATGGATGTAGGGTCGCCGACTCTCCGGTGGGCGTTAGCCATAAGCACGGGTTGTGTCTGCTATTACTCGCGATAGAGATCGAGAACGGCAGTCACTACTAGTCGAATGGGTCAACCTGCTTTGCCAGCTGGGATAGCTGAAAGGGATATTCAATTTACGCCTTGGGCCCGCATAATCAGTAGCTTGCGGCAGTCATTTTCGGAGGATTCAATTGAGGTTACATTAAAGTCGACTTAACGCGGCGGAGATCGTCGTATGTATATCCATGACCCGGGATAATGGCCCGGGCTGATCAGGCTAACCCTAACCCTAGGACCGTGCCTACACTCGCAACAAGTACTGGCAGTCTTGAGTACTTTGTTTATCATTCTCAGCTATAATATACTCTTCTGTAAGCGAATAATATTATGAAGATATGAAATATGTGCTTCTTGCCTGGGAAGGGCTCTCATGCGAAGAAATTTCACCTCAACCGCTCCGAGTCAATTTCTATCACTGCGTCAACTTCTTCGATGTGACCTGTAAGTCAGAGAAGTTGCAAAGAGCCCAGAGATCTCTCAATAAGACAAGATTCTGTACGTAGTATCATGAACATGTGATACTCGCGGGATACTCGAATTACAGTCATGATCACGTGTAGGTAAGACGCATAACTACCAAAATAATTGTCTAGCCTCTTTATTCAAAGTGCCACGCAGTATTCTTGCCGGCTCTATCGGAGCGTGACCTGGAGAGCCTGTCTGCAAGCTCTTATAAGTATACGTCCTAGGGATCGCCGCAAAATGCGGACCGTAAACTCCTTGGCTTGCAAGCTGATCTTGAACTATGGCTAGCTCACCTACTGCACGCGCCCTCGAGTTCGTCTTCTGGGAACATTATTGCGACAATGTAATCAGTCGTACCTTTGGAAGAGAGGTGGCTCTTAACCGTGCCATACGTTGGGTATTGGATAGCGCAGAGGCGAGACACGAACTTCGGCATCTGCCGACTGATGTGTTTGTGGTTCAGTCATATTGGCGCCCAGCGCCGGGTGCGACCGGAGTCCCTCAAGCACTGGGAGCGGACGTCATCGCGTTCAACACAGAGGCACTGGATAATATTCATGGCGGCGATATCATCCAATCCACCTCGGAGGATTTGGAGACGGGTCGGCGGTCGACGAATCACTGGTGCATCCTCGACGTGCGAGTTGCAGATGCAACACGCATTATCCCCGCCACCATCGTAATCCCATACGCAGACTCGCAGCCATCTCGATGTGATGCCGAACTAGACAACACGGACATGCTTCCATTGTGGTTCTGGCAACACGACGGATCTCTGGGAGTGCCAATTACCGCGCCCAGCTTCGACTGCCTGCTTGACTTATCCACACGCGTCGTAGGAACATCCTTAAATATTGCTTTCTGGGTGAGTACATGACTTCAAATTCTCCGAGGAAAGGACATGCTAACAACATGTGCTGGGCAGTGGTGCAACTACCCGCGTCTGGAGAAGCAAATTCAGACACGTGGAACCAGCAGTCAACCAAGCACTTCTGTGACACTTCGTCGATTGGCCGGCCTGACATGCGGAGCCGTTAGAAACGCAATGGCGGTAAGAAATGGAACTATCTGGCGTCCCCCGGACGAAGCACTGATTGTTAACCAGGATTACGAGCGTACCAACGCCGGTCGTACAGAGTGGCAGGACAGCCGTTACAAGATTGGGACAGGACTCGGATACATCAGTATACACGACGTCATCCTCCTCGGCATCGTCTTCGTCTCGCCAGGGAGAGTTATGCCGCTCCTTCAGCTTGGGCCAGACTTTGGTGAGTAGATCACGATAATTTACCCAGCAAAGAAACTGAGAACAATCTTTGTGTGTCCAGCGTTTGAGGCGTGAAAGAAGCATCGTGAAAACATTGTTCAGAAGTGACTTCCAGGTGTATGATAGAGAGAGCGAAGGCATGGTCAAGAATGATGAAGGTTCGGAGCAAGATGCAAATGCGACGAGTTCAACTTGCGCGTGAGGACCTGGACCTGCAAGCGCCCACGCAGTGGCCCGCTGCAGCGCGCTAGCGTGACTTTCCCTCCTCCCACCACCACTATCTTGCCTAGCTCATCTCATACCGATGTCTGAGCAGCGCCGGCAGGAGATTGCCGCCAAACGCGCACGGCTCGATGCCTTACGCGCTCAGCGCGTCCAGCGACAAGCGCAAGCCGTCGAGCGACGATCAGGCGCAGGCACACCGTCTTCACCACACGTAAACCTAGGGCGCGATAATGTTGATGATATACTGGCGGGTATACTTGGGCCTGAAGGTGTAGGGTCTGGCTCGCGCACGCCGGCTGGGAATACACCACCTGGGAGTGTACCGGGTACGCCTGCGCGTGGTGGACGTGCAAGCGGGCTTGGATTGGGCTTTGGATTGGGAGGGCGAGGCAGCGAGGCGGGGAGCAGTACTTTAGTGGGCGCAGGGAGCGCACTGGGTACTGCAGTCGGGACGGCGGAGAGCGATGCTGGCACACGCATGAGCGTGGATATGATCGAGTTCGAGCAGGAGCTATTCGAACTGCCTGTGCGCGAGAGGGTGCTATACAACAAAGAAATCCAGACAGCCGCTTTCGACGACGACGATGATCAGCACCCAGCCGATGCAGGCGGTGTGGGCACGTCTACTTTCGGCCCCTCACTGGACGATATCCATGCGAAATCTACAATGATAGACGAGGACGCAGCGTTGGAGGCAGAGAGCATCGCACTAGACGCCGAAATCGCAGCCGCGATCCGCGAGCTTAGCGACGATGAACGCGCACATATCGTCTCTGCACCAGAGTTCTTAGATTTCGTGGAGCAGAGCAGTAAGATCGTTCAACGGGCGCTTAACGACGGGTACGACTATATCACGGATTATACCCTCGGCGCACCATCCGACGACGCGGGAGACGGCGCAGGACGCGTAAAGCGCGTTGCGGCGTTCTGGGACGAACGGTTGCTCAAAAACCGGTCTATAACTGATCTGGATTGGAGTCCCAAGTACCCCGAGCTTACTGCCGCTGCGTATAACAAGAACGCGGGCGCTTTGAACGAACCGGACGGTTTGGTATGCGTGTGGAACGCTCATCTACTTGCTCGACCCGAGTTTGTGTTTCAGAGCCAGAGCGACGTGCTTAGCGCTGCGTTCAGTCCTTTCCATCCGAACTTGATCTTTGGCGGAACGTATGCTGGGCAGATCTTGCTTTGGGATACGAGGGCACGACATTTGCCTGTACTCAAGACTCCGTTGGGCGCTGCGGGGCATACGCACCCCGTATACGCTTTATCCGTCATCGGAAGCCAGAACGCGCACAATCTTATCTCGGCGTCTACGGATGGACTTGTCTGTTCATGGCTAGTCGACATGCTCGCTCAGCCTCAGGAGTCTCTCGAGCTCGTACACACTGGACACTCAAAGACGGGCGAGGTTGCTATCACCAGCTTAGCATTCCCCGATGCCGAACACGGCGCGTTCTTCGTCGGAACGGAGGAAGGCGCGGTATATCATGCCCACCGACACGATCGCGCAGGATTCAAAGCCGGTCTATCGGCCGCAGACGTCTACCGCGCGCACGGCGCGCCCGTCTTCGGTCTACACTTCCACCCCGCCACCGGCCCCATCGATTTCGGCGACCTCTTCCTCACAGCCTCGGCAGATTGGACTGTCAAGCTCTGGCGCGCTCAAGGACGCACAGCTACAGCGCCATCGCAGGGCTCGCAGGTCAATGGAGGGAGTGTGGGCGCTGGTGGTGTGGGCAAGACCAAGGGAGAGAATAATGTGCCACCACTTTATAGCTTTGATGAGGCGGACGATTATGTTTATGATGTGAGGTGGCATCCGGCGCATCCGGCTGTGTTTGGTGCTGTAGATGGAAGCGGGAGGTTCGATGTGTGGAACTTGAACGCGGATACTGAGGTAGAAAGCTCCGTGTGTAATAATACTCGTTCGCTGACAATCGCGTACAGGTGCCCGTCGTATCGACACCTGCCTCGCCACGCGCGCTCAACAAGCTCCGCTGGGACGCCAAAGATGGCCGTCGCTGCGCCGTCGGCGGCTCAGACGGTAAGCTCACCTATCATCCTGGCCATCGCACCCTTCTAACGTATTCATACAGGCAAACTGCTTGTATACGACATTGGAGACATGGCCCTCCCGCGCGAAACCGAGTGGGCGGACCTGCAGAAGACGCTAGCGGGGCTCGCTGCGCCGCCTGAGGACGCAGGGCTTACGAATGGGGTTGGAGGCGGAAGTTTGAGTGGGGGTACGAGAGGGAGATAAGCGTTGCGCTGGGCTGGAGGGTGTGGGTTGTACATATACCCTGTCTATTTCGTTGTGGAATGCACGTTTGCTTTGCTTTAATTCCCCTTTAACTAGCGAATGCTGGGGTATAAATAAGGCAATATATGTTTCAAACTTTCTTGTACATAAGCCGGAATAGCTCAGCTGGGAGAGCAACAGACTGAAGACTTGTCGCAAAGCTTTCTGGAGGTCCCGTGTTCAATCCACGGTTCTGGCAATTCAAAGGATTCATCCAATTTTTTATACTCGCCGTCACTTGTAGTCATGAGTATGCGCTGTGGTACTTGTAACGAGCTTGGAAGAATGTCAAGATCTGTGTGGTCCGTTGGGTTGAGGATTGACGCGTGACGGCCAAGGCCGGTGGAAGGCTGCACCATTTGCTTCCTCCCACCATCTTCCACTCGCCGCCTACTCGATTATCCCGCTTCCTTCTTGAGAAGTCGAGGTCTTCCCTGAGGACATCATACGCAAAATATCTTCTCGTCCTACTTTATCCATGAACTACCAGCTCGATCCGGTGCCACGTCAATCGACAGGCTCTCTCATACAGACCACGCTTGACCACTGGGTCTCAGGTGTTCGTCTTGGACGGAAGCCGTGTTACATCAACAGCCTTCCGCATGAGCTGCTCATAGAAATCATGACCTATATACCGGTTTATACGAAATGTGCGAAACGACATTGCGACCCCATGCAACTGCCTGATCGGATGTTCGACGAAGACGAGCCGGATCCGTCTCCCTCGTTCGCGCCAGATACTCTTTCGGACTGTCCTGCAAAACGACGGTCTCGAATAGGATGTCTGATTTATTGCCCCTCTGGATCATTCCCATGGAACTGGCTCGAGGTTCTGAGGGTTTGCAAGGTCTGGCGAGCCGCATGCCACGCTTGCCCGGAGTTCTGGACTCGTGTCCCTTTGAATAGCCGCAGCATGGTAGACCGGGCTTTGGAGCTTTCACGCGAACAGCCTCTATATGTCTCTTATACATTGAAGAGCGGTCAGTTCTTTGGCATGACCCGCGTATTGAATACGTCGCGGCGCATTCGCGAACTCGTCGTCGGTCCAGGCTATAAGGGGGTCATGGGCAGCCGAAACGATTACACTGTGATGGCGTACACATTGAAAGCGGTTGAGATGCCAATGCTGCAATCTTTCTACTTCATGTCGCCATACCTTGCAGTCGATCTTCGTGCTCTGTTCCGCAAGGAATCTCTACCCAACCTCCGACAATTGCACCTTTCACAGGTCAACCTCATCCAATGCCAACACCTGTTTCACAAGAATCTGACCTATCTCCATCTGGAAGACTGTACGGGCGTCTGGAACGGACCGTCGCAGATGTTGGAGGTCATCAGCGGCCTGTCTGCATTGCAGACACTCGAGTTGTTAGGCAGCAAAACCTTCCCCTTCGACTTTCGGCTGGATCATTCACATACCGTGACACTGCCTATGCTCTGCAGGATGGAGCTTGAAACGGATACAGCTCGTGTGCTTGGCTTTCTAGAGCACGTCACATTCCCCTCTTCCGCTATGGTCCATCTGGCAATCTATCATAGAGCCCCTATACGCGATTGCTCAGGTGTTGCCCAGCGCTTGGCTCTTGCTATTCGAAAGCATCACGATGTGGAGGTACTTGGAACGACCTCATTTACGCGCGGTAGACTCGTTCTCGACTACGCGCCACATAGCGAGAAGTACTGCATGGTCCAATTCGATCTCAGCTGGGAGAAGGACGCCCGACCCGATTCATGTCTCTTATTACCATCCAGATTTATCATTCGCCACATGTGGGACGGGAAACTACCCAAAGCGCCCGCCTTGCTCAAAGATGTTGAGCAACTCTTCTGCTCGTATGCGCCCTCATTTCCGAACCTCGAAACACGTACACTCAGGATCGTCCAGCTAGGGAACCCTCCGCTTCCGAAGCTAAAGGATGGCACGTTGACGAGGCCTCGCCCTGACTTCTGGTTCGCAGGTCTGCGACACCTATCCAAAGTCCGCACATTGATCATTGAGGGCGAGTCTCTCGAGACAATGCTATGGCTAGAGTCACCTGCCGATCGCTTTGCGCCACCATTCCCGGAGTTGAAGATATGGAAATTTGTTGACTGCTTCATGGAGGAGCGCCTGTTTTGTGCTTCCACTGGGCGCTCTTTGAAATCGCATCTACCTGCGAATCGCGATGCTCCCCACCTTGACCCTCGAGCAACCGTTGCTGACGCGATCAAGTCGCAGTTCGCTCTTCGTGCGTCTACGTTTGGTTCGGAGATTGCGCTGCATTCTGTTGGATCTTACGCTTTGAGAGATAACCTGGAAGAAGTGTTTCGGGGATCGAGTGGCATAGGATCCATCGAAGAGGGAGACTCTGAAGACGACTTGGACAAAGGGGATGAGGAGAATGCCAAATCAAGGTGGTTCGATTGATCATTGACAAGGACTGCGTTTTATAAGCTATCTGACTTACTACCTGCTTGATAATACAGCTGATGAGAAGATAGTATGAAGCTATTGAGCGAGCAGCATCGTAGTAATGGGCACATCATGTGTTGTAGTGATCGTTCATGAGCCTGAGGCTGAGAATGGTCTCGACAACGAGGACGGCGAGAGAAACTGAGGCTCGAATATGATCATATTATATGGATCTAGGCAATCGATGTAAGTATTAGGGAATGCTTACCTGGTACTAATCGACTTTGTAGACGAGGACGCCTGTTCGTGCGATGCACACATCTCAGTCTAAGGCACTATTGAGCGCCGCAATGGCAAGACAAGTCGACTTCTGAGTCTTCGATCAGACCATGAATCCCGAATGGCGTGAATGGATGGAACTCAATCTTTGCCGGGATCGCGAAGGGGACATCGCTCTCTCACTTAGATAGTCAAGTAGTAAAAGATCGCTGCATTCCATTGCCCGCTCTTGGCGCCGACTCAACAACGTTACAGGAAGATAAAACGGTCATGATATACAAGGGGCGATGCACCGGCACTCGTACTGCAGCACGGAGTCAGTCAGACCGGCACACCAACGACGGGATGTCAAACTTACCTGGCGAGTCAACGGCGCCTTGCGTTCAGGTCGAGGATGTTATGCGTTCAGCGACGCTATAGGGTATCATCAGTATGCAACTCAAGACCTCAATCAGTAATAAGAGTAGACGTACGTCGCCATCGCGGTCACCGTCGCGGTCTCCGCCACGGTCTCCACCGCGGCCTCCGTCGTCGTCACCGCCGTGGCGGGGCGTGCCGAGTGCGGGCGAGGCGAGGAGGACGAGGGCGAGGAAGACAGCGGAGAAAAGAGATGCAGAGAACTTCATGTTGAGGGCTTGAATTTGGATGGGACTCGGATTGAGCTGGCAATGGTGGAGCAAGTGAGGCAGAGCTTCATACCAGCTCAGGCCGGGTAGACGTGATATTCGCGTCTGAAGGGCATATTCGCACTCGCGCGTACGCAGCCAGGATGTAGAATGCCAAGTCGACAAGAACGTAGCATGTTTGACCCATGACGGGGCCACTGCTACCGGTAAAGGAAGACCGCCAGCACCTTGGCGCGAGACCGAGAGAGCGGTTGTCAGCCTGTGTTGGACGGTTCCACCGCGCTGGGAGGAACAAGACAACGATCTGCCATGACCGAGAGAGGGGTTGTTTTCAAATAGGAAGGCGAGAGCTTGTCGATCCCACTGGTACCACAGGGAACGTCCCAGAAAGCCCATGTCGGCTGCGGAGAGCTGCTAACGTGGGCATTGAGGCAATTTGGCGAGCACGCGGCGAAGGATCGATATTGCGCAGTTTAGTGTGTATGCTGCTGTAAGCAGAGAGCGAAAGACTGTACGGTCACGATGAGGCTTTAAGCTTTAAGCTTTAAGGCGTGAAACATTTGTGCGGTCAGGTCAACATTGTATGAGAGCGCAGCTCTTCATGACAAACCTTGGAAGAAGTATAGCTTGAATTTGAGCAACCCTATCGTTCGTTTCGACCGTTATCGATGCTCGACAGCGGGTACATACCATCTGGCGTAGGCTGTAGCAGAGCGCAGAGCAGTACAGTGGGATGGGATGGGCGTCCGAATGTAAGCACCATCGCGTTAGGCGAAAACCCGCGCTACATAGTTGATCATGTTGAACAGTCTTGCTCGTGCGAGCTATCAGGGCCGTGTCCATTCGTCTGCGACATGCTGTGGGTGCGCGGCGGCCGTAGAGGAGTCGTAGGCGAAGCAGCCGGTTAACATGCCTTGCCGCACTGCTTTACATGCGCCCTATGCATAATGGCCACCTGTGTGCATCTCTAAGACGACGTCGTATACAGGCGAAATCACTCTTGCTAGCTGGGTTGAAAATCGAGAATTAGGAGCTCGCGGTGTTCTACATATCCAAGTGGCTCATCAGGGAGTCAACTCGGCTGAACTTTTTGAACGTTCGACAAGTGTGACCGTGACCGTTGACGCGCGCGCGTGGCCCCCGCGCGACGTGCGTGTTGTCGTTAGTCCTTTCCTTCTTGCCACCGCTGTCATCGTGTACACGACCAGCTATCCCGACATCCAACCTCTCTGATGCCGCATCACCCATTGAATATGCTATGGCAACCTAAATATCTCGTACAAACAACGCTCGATCAGTGGGTTTCCGGCGTCCGACCCAAGCCCTGCTACTTTGAACGCCTTCCTCCCGAGCTCTTCCAGGAAATTATCGGATATCTACCCTATCAAACCAACTGCGCTAGGCGTCACTGTGACCCGCTTCGTGATCTTCCTGAAGCCGATGACTTATCACGCGAGATCGAGTCGTACGACCCCGGGAACTGTGTATCTGCCAATACCCTGTCGGAATGCCCTGCGGAACGGCTTATTTCCTCTGGATGCGCAGCTTACTGCCCAGCCCAATTTTATCCATGGAACTGGCTGGATGTCATGCGCGTGAGCAAAGCATGGAGGGCTGCGTGCCTCGCGTATGAACCATTTTGGGCACGGATACCTTTACACTCCCAGTTCTGGGTGGAGCGTTCAGCTCTCATATTATCCGGGACACTCCCAGTGCAAATATACTACGACGTTGCTCAGCATCAAGCATGCACTTTTATTGAGATCATCCAACGGTTCTCCCGTCGTGTGTCAGAACTCTCGATCAACAGCGGCACGAAACCATCTCCAGACATTTATCTTTTGAGAGACAGCCTTGGGGGGCTTGATATGCCTCAGCTGGAGGCATTCTCATATCTTGCCC